ATGGCACGGGGATCAGATCCATTTAAATATTGCAGCTTTGGTCTCTCTCAAATCCCACCCCACAGACTTCAGGGAACATGCAGGCATTGGCCTCCAACCTGGAGCTCATATCGATGTTGCTATGGCAGCATTTCTCCCTCCCCAAATCATCAATCGATATTTGCTGGTCAATTTTACCCATGAAGGTGAGGAACAGAGAGCTTTACAACAATGCTCAGCTTGGAGCTGGCCCATCGGCTGCACGCTGGGAGAGGACATGGGGTCCAATGGTCAGCACTGAGCTGTGGTCCCTGCTCTAGGAGGGGAGTGGGTCAAGCAGGCTGGAGCAAGGGGGTCTCTTATTCCCGGCTGTAGCAGGGGACTGAGACCTACTGCCAGGAAGGGACTGGATGCCAGTGTCTGGGTATAGCAAGGTTATAAGGCTCAGCCACCCTTTGCAATTTGCTCAAAGGCAAGAGCTGGAAGCTCTGATTCTGCTCACCTGGAATCAGCCCATCGGCGTGAGTATTTGGGTTGGTTCAGCCAACTTCATGCCACAAGGCAACAGCCACCTTGCTGGGTTCAGCAGGAAGCCGACCACTGGGTGGCAGGGCCAGCATGGCAGGCAGCGTTTCCTTGGAGGGGTGCTGCAAAGAAAAGCACTGGGCAGCTCATCATGGCACCCCACAGAGGAGGGGCCCTGCCAGCTCCTGGCTGAAGTGGGGAGGTGGGAGTGGAGCAGAGCAGAGCCCCTGCCATACAGCTTGCATTGCTCAGCGCTGAGTGTTCCTCTCTCGTGTCAGCAAGTCCCAGGAAGCTGGGTAGCTGTTCCCTCCCCACCTTGTCCCTCAGTGGATCTGGGTGTTTCCTACCCCGCCATATTCACTGGGGGATCCCCCTGCTGCTCCCTGCCCCAGTGCAATGCTTCACCTCTGATGGGAACACGGGGCCATGCTGTGGGGATTGCTCATCAAACAGTGTCAGAGCTGGGGTGTCCTCAGCAGATGCTCTGCCCCTGGGGGGAAGAGCTAAGGAGCAGAAGGGGCCTACACTATGTGGCCTTGGCCAAGATGTGCCAGATGCACATTGGCAGCAGACCTGTCCCGGGCGCTGCCTATGCTGTGGAGAGACCCAGTAACAGGCTGCAGAGCAGGGTGGGTCTAACCATGTCTTAACTCTGTGCTGAGCAGAGAGGCAGCCGTGCAAACACCCAGGGTGCAGTTGCAACCAAAAGCCCCAGTGGGACCTGCACACAGCAAGTTGCAAGGCTGTTGTCATGTCCGGGGCACAGGGGATTCCTGGATCCCCCATCCCCACTGCCCTTGCAGCCACAGGGCTGGGCTTCTCTGCAAAGCCGTCAGGGCAAATGATGCCTTCAACCAAGTTACCAGGACTGGCGGTCTGCTGGCTCTAACGGCACTTAAGCTCACTCACTAGCAGCCTACCTACTCGTACAAACACCCAGGTCCTCCAAGCCAAGGGGATGAAGTCTAGGGGAAGGCCTGGGGGTCCCAAGCATCCGACCATTCATTCTTCTCAGATGGCCCTCCAGGCAGCCGAAGGTCTGGACAGGCTCAGGAACATGTTCCCCCAGTATTTGATCAGAGGGCTCCTGCTGAACGCGAAAGGTGCCAGAGACAACAAACAGCCCCCAACTTCCCAGCGCTATCAGCTGGTGCCCAACCTCTCCCAGAAGCCAGCCGTGTTCCCCTTCCCTGACCCTTTTGTTTGGCAGCTTCTCTGCAGGTCAGGCTGCCCCAGCCCACATAGGTGGATCCTTCCTTGAGAAAACACTGACCACGCTTCATGTCTTTGTGACAAGCAATTTTCTCAGCTGAGCTTGCAGCTCAAAGGACAGCCTGGCATTGGAGGCAGCCTGACAGGGAGCATTACCATTTCACACACAACACAACACAAAGCAATTTTTTTCCCCCCAGAGTACTCATTCTTTCAGGCTCAATAGCCCTGAAAATTGGCACCATCATACTGTTAAATGCATCGATCTGCTAAATCAACTCCCACTGTGTTTGGCTATGGCTAAATTTAGTCCTGAATCCCCCTTCCTGCCCCTGCACTTCTCGGTACTTTGCCCAACCAGGTCAGCCGACCACTGCTCTCCTGTGACACTGATATCCTTTCTGGGGATCTCTCTCGCAGACAGGACAAAATCCCCCACCTCCTGCCTGGTCTGCATTGCTCTGCCTCTGCAGATCCAAAGGCATTAATTACAGTGCCTCACCTAGGGTTGTTCATGCATCTGTCTTTATGCTGGCAACGTCAATGGGAAGTATTCTGATTTAAGGGGCATTGTCACAGAAGTACTGTCACCTTCCTGCGCTTTCACACACATTTCTGTTGCATGATGCCACCCTAGTGAGGCAACCTAGTTCATGACTTGGTAGAAGTGGCACCAATATTGCCAGGAATAAAGTAATATTGCCTATTGTGCGCTCCGACTCTCATTTCTTCTCGCTTAATGGTACAAACCCACCTGCAAATTAGCCCCTGCAGCTCAGCAAACTTTGCTTTTACCTCACATAGCTGGAACGCTGTGCATAGGTATCTCTAGTAGCCAGGATGCTGCAGGGGGATGTAGGGGACTCTTCTAGCCACAGCTCTATCCCTGGGTCGTTGTGTGAGCCTGGGTCATCACATCTCCTCTCTGCGCCCTTCTTGCCCTTTGTGTTGTTTCTTTAGCTGTCTGGACGAGGACTGTGGTTGTGCACAATGGCACACCAGGGTACGCTGGATCCACGATATGCTGATGCATGGGGGAGCGAATCCACTGGAGTGGCCCAAGGGCAGTAAATAAGCTTGGAAGCGGCATATGCCAGCCAACAGAGGGGCTGGTTCATGCTCTGCTGCATGGCTAACATCCCCAAGGGTCAAAAGTACCTTTAAGGGCTTGGGTGTTTCCACATGCACACCAAGAGAGACAGGAGCTAGCACTAGGCGGGCACCCTCCTGGGAGCAGCGTTGTCTCCATTTCTCAGAAATGAGGCCTGTGGGCTCAGAGACCTGTGGGATTTGACCAGGAAGAAGGCAGAGCCCCTCCTGACTTGCAAACATGGGCTTCATGAAAGGCAGAAAGAGGAACCAGCTAGGGAGAAGCCAAGCTGTCTGGTTAAAGAACGGGGCATGCCAGCCCAAAGGAACCAAGGACAGAGCCTGAACATGCATTGGTGACAGAGGGAGGAAAGCCCGGGGCCACATATGGATCTCATGGACGTCAACAGCACATCTCCAACTGCCAATGAGGCCTGTGTTGGTCTTTCTTTTTTTACATCTTTTGCTTTTCTTGGATGCATTTGAGAGCCAGCTCCACCAGCCCCAGGAGCTTGCTGTCCCCCAGGCATGATCAGCACAGTGCACTGAAGGCCCCTGTGAGTCCTCGCAGAGCAAATGTGCTTCTAGTCTGCTCTTGGGAGCACACATCACCTGCCAGACAAGCCCCTGGGGCCAACAACCCCCTCAGCAAGACACCAACACGCTCCTGGTTTTCCTCAACAATGATTTATTTTTAAATATACTATGCAAGAGAGACCAGAATAAAAAATAACCCCCAAAAAAACCAAAAACAGAGAAAGTGAGGGGGAAGGGGGAAAAGCCATGTACAGAAACCATCTGTATTGGACCAAAACCAAAGGGAACAGCCCCTTGGGTATCACGAAGAGGAAGGACAGAGCTATTTACACGTAGTAAAAAAAGGACAAAAGGAGTCTACAAAAGTGTGTAATACCAAGATACAAGTGTATAATATAGTGGCACAAGAGGTTATCAACAACGTAAAAACAGTACCTCAGAAACAAGAGTCCAAGGCATGGGGTTTTTTGATTTTTTTGCTTGTGGTTTTTTTTTTTCTTTAAAGGCAGCCTGTGGCGTGTGGTTCTTGTTTGTTTTTATTGTTTAAACGTCTGTCGTGCGTTAAGTCGCGGCTGGTTGTGAGGTCGCAAGGTGGCGTGAACACACAACAGAACGTGCTATGGGAAATTGTATACAAAACCGAGAGCTCCTAAGTGGAAAAAATAAAATAAAATACAAATGGAAGGCGATTAGTGTTTAAAGATACACAAAAGGAAGGGACCTGGGATGGGGAGCTTGCTTTCTTCTCTCGTTTGGAACGGTTACAAGGAGTTAAATTGCACTGTTAATAGCCCTAAACCTTGTCCTTTTACTAACAGGCACATTGCAGTTAGTTCCCAGTTGGCTGAATTAGTTGGGAAGGTCAAAGCGACCTGGGAAAGGTGCTCCTTGGAGGCACATGTTCACAGCTCCCTTGGGGACATGCACCCAGGGGAAGAACCGTCTGCAGGCTCCCCAGGTCCTTTAATCCTGACCAGAACCGTCGGAGTATCATTGGGGCAATCAAGTTTTCCAATGGAAGTAGAACAACCTACGCTAACCAGCAAGGGTGACCCTAAGCACTTCAGTGGGATTCAGTGTAGATGATGAAAGGAAGGGTTTGCAACATGCTGCTTCCCTCCTCCTCACAGGGACTGCATGGGGGAGTGGTGGCCGGGTCTGATACAGCCCTTATGTGCTCACTGCTCCCGTGTCATTGAAACGGCTGGAAATTTTAGGCAAATAAAGCTCTGCCGGTGCATCTCCTCAAGACCACTTGGGATGCGCCAACTCGGCTGAAACAACTGCTGGAGGCACACTGGAATCTTTTTGGATGGGTTTCTCAACCTCCCCACCCGTTGCAACCCTCCTATCCCTCGCTCAGTGATGAGCGGCAGCTCTCGGCGCTCCAAACTGCTCTGCAATTCCCCCAAGTGTCGATTATCGGGAGAGCATGAACTGCTCTTCTCTCCCCAAACCCTGTCTGTCTTTTATTGCTACCAAAGAGAGATTCACAAACGGGATCACAGCATTAACAGGGACCATCCGCAACAATCCAAACCTCCAGCGATTCATTTGGACTCTCCACCGTGAAGAAGTCATGAGAAACGTGGATCTGTTGGCTGGCAGCTAAGGGCTGCGGATGGAGCCGTCGGGAAGATTTTGGTAAACATCTTTCATAGCGTCCTATTTCACGAACAAGTTACATAGATACTCCACCCCCCGAGCCCCAGTCTGACACATTAATGTCACTCACAGAAGCGTCAGACTCAGGCAGGGGACATGCGCTGTGACCCACCCCCCAGGAAAGCAGCGGGCATATTGCTATTCAAACACAACGCTGGGGCAGGGGGAGGGAACAACACGGCAGTAGGACTCCCTCCCGGAGGGGGGCAGAACATCAACGTCCGTCAGTCCAGCTTCAAGCTTAAAGCTCTGTCCAGAACAACAGAATATTAAGAAAAAGGCATGATGTGACCTCGGCATTTCGCCTTGTCGTCCACAAGGCAAGAACTCCACAGATGAGAGGATTGTGAGTACGTGAGTCGCAGGGAGCCTGGGTGAAAAGGGAGGAAAAGTGCATCTTGATGGACACCCTGGCTTAGGCAGCAGGGCAGCGTTCAACAGTCTGGGTTCATCCCTGTCCCCAAGGCCCCTGGTCCCCTATCAGTCTGCATGTGTGCTCCCAGTTCTCTCTGCGGCTGGCTTTGGCCCATGACAAGCAGCAGCCACCTGACTCCTGCTACCTCTGAACAATGTCACTGATTTCTTTCACCGAGCTGAGAAGCTTGCTAAAGTCCTGTGTGGCCGCGGGGCCGCTGCCAGCTGTGGCCGGGCAAATCTGGAGCTCCCGGAGGTTGTTCTCCAGCTTATTGATGGCCTCCCGGAAAGCAAACTTGTTCCTCATCTGCTGGATGGAGTCCACGTAGCTCACACAGAAGGTGTAGAGGTTCTTGCCGGCCTCCAGGACAGCACTGTGGCTTGCCATTTGTTCCGAGTTCTTGTTGATGGCGAGGCGCAGAGCCTCCGTGCTTTCCAATACCACTCCCTTGGTGATGGTGCCACTAGCGATCCTCTCTGGAGGCTGGCGGGTCTTCCGCAGTGACACTCTGGTGGAGATAAGAGGGATGAAGGCTGTGGATGATGGCTGGTCACCACCTGAGGCTGAAAGGACTGCTGAAGAAGGGGCTGGGGCTGCTGTGGTCAGCATCTTGCTGGAGGACTGTGGCTTTGGTATGGAGGGGAGCCCTGGCTTCTTGCTCCCTTCCCCTGGTTGGTTTGGCTTGGCAGCATCACTGCCGGCAGCGTCTGCAACCTGAGGCAGTGGTTTGGATTTAGGACCCGACACTGCATCCACTGTTGCTTCGTGCCCAGGGCTGTGGGAGGCTTTTCCAGGCCTGCCGACAGAGGATGAAGACAGTGGAAGTGGTGGGGCTGGCTTCAGCTTCGATAGCTTCCCCTTGTCCTTCTCTGAAGTCTGTTTGAGCCTCCTCATCCTGGGCTCTTCTGTGGAAGCCTTGCTAGTACCCACAAACATGGCAGAGCTGACTTTCACAGCAGGCCCTTGGTCCGTTGTCGTAGGGGTACCTAAGGCACTCAATTTGACACCGTCATCCTTATGAGCCACACCGGAGGACAGAGGACCAGCAGGCTGCCTGCGCAAGAGTTTGGGCGTCAGTGTGGGTGGGCTGGAGCCAGGGCTCGACTCGGTATCTTTGAACACATCGTCGGTCGCCTCCTCATTCTTCTTCAGCAGCCGCGGTGGGGGTGTTGCCGTCCCCTTGGTGGCAAGATCCGCCTTGCTCTCATTCGCCCGCTTCCGCGGAAGGGCAGGCTTCTCACTTTTGTGCCCCCCAAAGGTGGATGAATCGAACTGCCGCCCTGTGGACTGTGGGTCCCGGGGTAGAGTCACCGACTTCCACTCAGTGTCCTTGGCTCCGTGGGGCACGCATGAGGCAGAGCAGGACCGCAGGAAGCGCTTGCTGGCATTGGAGCTGCTCTCGTCTTCGCCGGCAGCTGCTCGGCTGCTGGTCATGGTGCTGGACTTTTTCCACAGGTGGGGCGATAAAAAGCCAGAGTTCCCCGTGACTGCCCCGTTGATGACCCCAGCCCCATTGCTCGGGCCCTGGAATTTGGAAGGATCGGCAGCATCTGTAGGCAGCGTGGTGAAAGCCCCATTGCCGGCATCCCTGCTCTCATCCTCACCCGCTGCCCTGCGGTCCGGGTGGCCATCTATCTCCCGGAAGGAGCTGCTGCGCTTTGGAGGGGTAGGGGCTGTCTTCTTCTTCTTCTTGATAAGAGCACTGAAGAGGTTGGTCTTTTTGTCCTTTGGAAGCAGCCGCTCGTCTTCATTTAAACTGCTCTCCAGGGCGACTCTTTCCTTCCGTGGAAGCAACGGAGACACGGCCGGTTCATGCTCCAGATGGTCTGCAAGGAACAGAGAAGATTCTATTGAGCTTCACTTCGCTTCACGAAACAGAACAATCTGTTCTCCTCTGAGACTGCTGCGCTCTGACACCGCCTAATAGGCACTGGCTCTGTAAACAGAGGCCCACGCTCAGACCTGCTGCAAAGTGGATACAGCTCCACCGAGGCCAGGGCTGGATTTGGTCCAGAATCCCGAGGTACGCTCAATCCTGACATACATCTGGATGTCTCTCTAGCTTTGCTGGTTCACAGACTGAATGAGTATCAAGGGCAGGTTATTCCTTTTGCTGCTGGCTCCTTCCCAGCCACTCACTGAAGGGACAAAGAAGTTCCCCACTAACCCACTTCCTCATCTCCCTGCTTGGTTAAACTACAAATCTCCCCCTCTCCCATCTTCAGTCTCTGGTGGAGCAAAAATAACTAGGACACAAGAAGAAATCAGGATCACTCCAGCAGCAGAATACGATGAGCTGCACCATGGTGAAGACAGGCAGTCTTTGACAATGGAGGAAAGCAGGGATAAGGGACTGCTCCAGTGGAATTGCTCTCGGAGAAGAGGATGAAGTGACCCCTTTACCACTTGCAAGAGAAATTATAAAATGAATAGTGGTTTATGATAAATTTAGAGGGAGTCCTGAAGGATTCCACGTTTGAATGACAGGAGGTCTTGTTCACAGGTCAGGGACTGCAACAGGAGCACTCAAACAGCTCTCTAATTTGAGACAGAGCTGCCTGCAGGGCAGTAGATACATTTACAGCTTGAGCAGGCAGCAAGAGGAGATGAAGCAGGGTTAAAGAAAGAGAAAAGGATCCTTCTTAGTCACGTAAAGGTAAATATCTATACTGGTGTCTCAGCTGAGAGAAGGGGATACTCTTTTTTTTTTTTTTCCTTTAAGACAGAGATGCATATTTCAGGAAGAAATGCAGTACCTGCCAGGAAGCAGATCACACACTTTTGTGAACACATATTTAGACTATTCATGTGCAGCTGAATATGTTTGTATGTGCCCAACCAAAAAGAAATGTTAAAATAATCTTCAGAGGGGAAACTTTTCCTGAGAGCGGACACAAGTCACTCTGAGCAACTCTGCTCAACCTCCTGCAATCTGGAAAGAGATTTTTCCTGAAAGGACAGGGCAGGGATCAGACACCAGTTCAAGTCTCTTGTATCTCCTGCCAAGGACAAGCCTCTCCCAGTGGTCGAGACACAAGCTCAGAGCTTCTCACCAAGTGCGCTCTATTCAGAAGCAAGTCCATCTGCCCTGGATACCCATGAGCAATTGGAAGTGGATAAAAGACAAAGGATTGTTTTAGGTCTCTATTGGGATGTTGTTAAGATACATAAACCTCACTTATGCCTACACACACACACACACACACTTCGTCATCTCTCACCAGACTGGGATATGACAAACTATCTGTGAGAAAACTAGCACGTGTGGACTAAAACCACCCCAAAAAGGAGGGCTGGTGATAACCTGCTGTACTGTGCATGCATGCCATACACACACCTACACACACACACACATCCACCCAACATACAAAAGATTTCTGGGACCTCAAGTACACAAAACATAATGAACAGATTAATAACATTCCTGCTCTCATATAGTGCTTTCCATCAGTTAAATCTGAAAGTGCACTGCTAAGGGTTTTGCCCACTACAGTCAGAATCAGCACCTTTAGCCCGAGCTGGCCAAAACAACTTATCTGCAATATTATTTAAAAAAAAACAAACAAAAAAACAAATTTCATTTTAAAATGTTCTGGGTACAAATTAAGTGTCTGTGCTCAATGTTTTATCATTGTTTTCAACAGCCCCCAAATGGAAACTACACGCTTTGAGAATCTGACTGAGAGGTTGTTTAATTTCATGGTAGATTTTGTAAATACCTCTGTGGCCCTTGCTGAAATTATATTTGGTACCTGCCAGAAGTAATACACTTCAGCGTTTCAAAGCAGACACTCAGTAGGATTTGGGGCTGGAAAACCCTCCTTATCAGAGGCTGCACTGCGCACACAATTCTGAATGCTACCCAGCTTATTTCAGGCAGAAGGCAGGGTGGCTTATTTACACCACCCTGGCAGCACCAAGAGACTGGAAGTCGAGGCAAGTCCCCTTTGCTGGGAATTTTCTTGCACTGGGACAGCATGGGGGTGGGGATAGGGGACTTAGC